ATGGAGAACATGTTGAAATGGTAGTCAACGTTTGTGTGATATACCCAAAACCGCATAAACTGTAAATCGATATGCATTTCTTAGCTGCTTAAAACTATTATTTTACAGACATACACAAAGATAAATTTTATCATATAAAAAAAAAAAGCATTCAAAAGCAAAAAAAGTGTTTGTGTTTTACCTGATGGGTGGAGGAGGTGGACATGCAGCGGTGCAGCGTCAGAGTTTTCTGATCACACAAGGCCTTACATGACGAGCCTGAAATGATGCCCCTTCTGTAGTGATCGCACTGAGAAAACAAGCAAAGAAATACCCAACGTCAGGCCACAGGAAACAGGAAGCAATCCCAAGTGAGCTAAGAAACATCAGCCATTTTAAGATCTCTATATTTACGTAGTCTATGAGGTCTACCAAACAAAAGCAACAATTCCATGACATTGTTGCCGTGTCCTCTTTTCAGCGGTGTCACTTCCTCTTAATGACCGTCTCACATTGCGTTTCTTCCCACAGGTCACTGATTCTGACCAAAACATATCGGTTTGACTGGTACTTGAAGTACGTGTGCAAACCTTTACATCGATTGGCAAATCAACCTACGGATCTCTGTGACCTCGACCAGGGTGAGAAACCGTTCAAGTCCAACCTCAAGAGTACAATTACACACAGAGTCAACCACGTCATAAAATATTAAATGAATAACGATGTCCCAGTGGAAAAGTTTAAATTTTCCAATGGCCTTTCCAAAAGCCTTGTTTTTCCTTCAAGTCTAAGTTGCTGTCATTTTCAGTCGCTTATGTTTTTTATATATATACATATATAAAACAGTCGATTCTGGATTATTTAGTAGAAAGGAAATTCCACAAATGAACTTATTTCCACAACTATAAGTGCATCAGCATTATTGGCGAAGATGGTAGAATCTTTGAAAAACAGTGATTTGTACGAAAAAAAGTCAAGTTTAGATGAAAAAGCTGTCAGTGAAAGTAAGTAAATAAGATGCATATCACTCTAGTATGATTTTTTATTTCTCCCCTTGTCCAATTGTGATCTTACTGCAGAAATGCTGGAATTTCCACCAGCTGGTGCTGAGGGCGGAGGTCACGTCACACATCAGAAACTGCACACTCAACCGAGTTAGAATTAAGGACAAGCGAAGTTTGTTGAGCCTGAACGAAACATGAGTCATACCAAAAGGAAACTTTTTTTTTTTTCTCCTGAGCCGTCGATGTCATTTCTCACTGCAGCAGCAACACACGTTTAAAGTTCAGACAGATAAAAGCAAACATTTAGAAATACCCTGGTGAAAAAAAAATACAAATATTTTATCTTTTAGTCGATTTTTTTTTTTTTTTTACGTAAAGCGTAAATTTGTCACCTAGTTATTAGAAAAATTGGAAACTACTAAGTTTTGAGTAAGATTGAAAGGAAATCATACCAGTCAAGCCTTTAAAGCAGAACATTTAATAATTTATGGATTTTTTTTTTTGGTGTCATTCTATATGTTGAATGGGGGATGGGTGTAGTGAAATGTTCAGTGATTGGTACAGATACATTAGCTCAAAATGAAGGGACACTCATTTTGTCCTATTTATTCCACTGAATCCAGGTACGTTGTTGTCCCTCCCTTTTTTAATTCCGTCTTATTTTTAAGACTCTTCTCGCCTACTTCGTGTTGCCAAACAGGTTCCAGTCATGATTTAACTGCAGAGGTTGGTTCGGATGTCTTTATTTCTCCATTGGAAAACAGAGTCTTGCATTGACTGGTTTTCTCCTGTTTGCACCCTTTCAAACTATTCTGCAACATTTTGGCAAAGCTAGCTAGTTTGCTAATTTGTTCTGAACAGCCTCAAAAAATCACATGCACATCGTCAAGGTACTTCTAAACGTTCCCTTTGTGAGCTCGACAAAACATCGGTTCATTCTTAATATGTGCGAGTGTGACCAAGACTATTCAGTGCAGCTAAGTGGTGTCATGAATGAAATGTCACATGCAAAAGCAAAATACATTCCTTTTTTTTTTTTTTTTTTTTTCTTTGAGAAAATACCAGTACGTGTTTACTTACGATGACCATTTGACACACGTGCCCGCGACACATCTCAGCGTACGAGGCATACTGCATGTAGACGATCCAGCTGATGATGAGAATGCCCAGCCAGGCAAGGAGAAGGTACTTCACCTTGATGGCCGGGAGCCGACTCTATGGAGCGCAGCAGAGGACAAAAAGGTGTCCGCTTAATTAGAAAGTCATTACAAAAGCTCATGGGAAGTAGAATGTATTGAAAGGCAACACGTACACCGCGTATTAATACTTTTTTTTTTTTCAGCAGTATTCATGCACTTGGAGCTTTTCCACAACATGTTACGAAACAGCCAGCATGTAATTTAGGTTAAATTGGATATTTTTCGCCGGAGTCTCTAGATTGGTAGATCTTACACGGTTGATTGCAAAGTGTTAGAATGACAACCAAAGGAGGTAGTGTTGCGTCATAATCGAGTTTGTCAAACTTACTTTTTTTTTCATTACAATAAACGTAATACTCAAACTTAATTCGACTACATCTAGCAAATAAAAAAAAAATAAGTTGGAGCTCCATTTTTTATTTTTATTTTTAGTGCATGGCCATGGTTGCTATTTTTTAATTTCTCACGCTTTCTCATCGCCATTTCTGGTTTCTATGACCTCGTAACCCCAGACTTGCATATTCGTTGACTCCCAAGTGGGGCCTCAAAACTCATCTTTGAAAACGTCTGAATCACAAACAGCTGAAATGCCGCTTCATCATTTCTAGCCAAATCAGTGCAGGCTCAAGGACTTCATAACGCACCATGCTAAAACTAATGCAGCAACGACGAGTCACAACTTCAACATTCTTTCTAAATAGACAACCCGTTCAAAATAACATGTTTAGCACAACAATTTCTATACTGGCCCCAAATAGTCTGCTTCTTCTTCTCCTTCATTTCCTAAACTGGGGCCCAAAAGCTAGCACTCTCTTCACTCTTGCCTGCATTTGCATCGTCTTTTTTTCTCTCTCCAGTGTTTGTGAGGTTGGGTTGGGTAGGATGAGGTGAGGGGGGTACTTTGCGACATTTTGGATGTATATCCACAAAGATTATCCAAAAATGTCCATCGAGTCTCTTTTTGTGTGTGTGTAGCAGGTACCTACCTGCAGGCCTTTAGACAGAGGGCAGAACAGCATCAAATGGACCAGTCGCCGCAGAGCCCTGGGCATCCTGAGCGGCAGTGAGGAGGAGGCAGCGGAGCGAGAAAGCGGAGATCCCCGTCAGATCACATCCTCACAGCGACCTGCACGCCATGCGGTCGCACTCATAATTATGACGCACTTTATGCCGCCTTTACATGTAATATGCCTTCTGAATTAGGGTAATTTTGGTAAAAAGCAGAAATATCCGGAGCGCGTCCTTGAAATAGAGGAACTTCAGCCTCCATAAGGGCTTTTATGGCGGCTGACATACATAAAAATTAAATCTCAAAGACAGAAGAAAAGGGATGTCTCCGCTTCCAAAAATAAAACAAAAAAAACCCTTATAAGCTAAAGCCAGTCTCTTCCTTATCCCATCAAAAAATAGCAACAATGATGCAGGCGGTGTGTCGCGCGATGCACTCTCAGCTCAGCTCTGCGCTCTTTTAAAGGGACAGGCGCCAAATTGTGAGAGGTGCTTTTATTTCCACCGACATATAATGGCGAAAGATCCATTTATTTCTTTTTATTTGAAGCGGGTTTTTTTTTTTTTTTTGTGGAAAAAAAGCATCGCCCTTACATACACGTACATATCAATAAATTGTCTAGCTACACAATTAAATTGAATTAAGTAAAAATCTCATAGACCTTTTTTAAAAAAAATAATCAATTCGCAACATTGAGTGATGTTGCAAGGGTTTTTGGTTGATCATTTTGATCATTATGAAGAAGTATCCTTACTCCAACAGACCGGGATCAGCTCTACAGAGGCCTGATAACGAGCCATTCATTTGATTCAGGTATGTTGAAGCAGGGATGCATCTGAAAGTTGCAGGACGGCAGCTCTCGAGGACTGGACTTGGGCACCCCTGCTCTAAAGTCTTGAGGCCCACATAAACAAAACTTCAAGATAACTGCTGTGTGCTTAAATATTATTTTACAAGTCAAACTAGATCAGTTTGTTTTTTACATTATGAACGTCCACCCCTCTTTTGAATGAGATGTCCTTCACAATCCTTTCGAGCCTGAGGTTTGTCATGTCAGGTGTGCACGTTCTCTTCTTCACGCGGCCCCGTAAACAGAACGTCTCCTTCAGCAACGACCTTGTGGTGGGTAGCGAGTCATTGACCGCTCTGGATAACTGCCATGTCAGCAGTCTGCGCAATTGTTGCAAAGTTTGGCTTTTTTGTTAGCTTTAAGCTACGACAATCGAATTGCACAGAAAAAAAAAAGTGCTTGAAAAATATCACTCTGCCGTCAAAAAAAGTTTGAGTCTGAATTCCATTATTGAAATGAATAAACATTTCAGTGGCATTGCAGTTTGTTGTTAAATATCTTTCAATCCACCAAGAGTGAGCTCACCATCCATTTTCTTTACACCCTTGTCCCTTAGTGGGGACAGGAGGGGTGCTGGTGCCCATCTCCAGCTAACGAACATTACACCTAGGGACAATTTAGATAAACTAATTGACCTGACAGTCATGTTTTTGGACTGTGGGAGGAAACCGGAGTACCCGGAGAAAACCCACGAATGCACAGGGAGAACATGCAAACTCCATGCAGAAAGACCGGGGCTGGGAATTGAACCCAGAACCTTCTTGCTGCAAGGCAACAGCTCTACCAACTGCACCACTGTGTAGCCCTGTGAGCTCACCAGTAAAACATATTTTGTTTCTTAAAACACTGAATACACTGAATTGATCATGCAAAAGGAAAACATGACAAGAGTAAAAATATATGAACTTTTTATTGATTTAGCATATATATATATATGAATGATAGATATATGTAAAACTATGTGGACTGGATTTACGATACTCAGGTATTAGGATCAAAAAATAGCAAAAAATCAGCTCTAAAAAAACTTCTGCCTATTGTAATAGTTTAAACACCAAATGATAACAATAATAATAATATTGATTTAACACACACAGTTTGAGCCGTCTTGCCGCTATCGCAGAAACTAATATCTACCGTTTTCCTTATCTCTGTGAATTTTCCACTAACACCGCTTTGCTGCTGTCTTCAAATGATTCTCGTCAGAACTGGAATCCATTTGGAAGAGCATCTGCGGAAACAGAATGAAAAGGGAAAATTAAAACTTTTCTGTTTCACATTCACAAGTATTGTCTTGGTTGACTCAAGAGCCTCAAGCTCATACCTGTCCCGGCCGAGGTGGACCATACCGAACGACCAGCTCCTGTTTTTTTAAAAAATTTTCTTTGATAAACAAAACATGAGTGGAAAACAATCAACAAAGAACATTGTTGCATCTTTTTTTGTGTGTGTGCAATAATTATTATCCAGCCCGGTTCCATACTCAAAACCCACTGAACAACGGGGGAATTAAGCTATCGAGAGCCTGTTTACTTTCCGCCCACCTAATGCGCAGCAGAGCCACTTTAGGCCGAGCTGCGTCTCAAGGGGCGACGGTGACCGTTTATCTACGGCCGTGAGCCAGTTACCGTTCAGTGAGATGCGGTCCTTCCACACCGGCTTCAGCGGTTCGAGTGAGGGTAAAGCGACGCATCTGCTTTACAGCACATTTCCCTGCAAGAGAAGCAGCAGCACAGCATGAGGAGATGCTTTCTCATTTAATAAAAGAAAAAAAAAAGTTATCATATTAGCTTGAGTTTTCATATTACAACCAACAACTTGGATGTATTCTAGTTCTAGTAAGTCACAATATATTGGAATTAATATGGCATTGACTGGTTGAAAAATTTATTTGACAATGATGGTGACAAATATATACTGCTCAAAAAAATAAAGGGAACACTCAAATAACACATCCTAGATCTGAATGAATGAAATATTCTCATTGAATACTTTGTTCTGTACAAAGTTGAATGTGCTGACAACAAAATCACACAAAAATCTTCAATGGAAATCAAATTTATTAACCAATGGAGGCCTGGATTTGGAGCCACACACAAAATTAAAGTGAAATGTTCCCTTTATTTTCTTGAGCAGTATATTTTACATGACAGATCAAAACAATAATTGTCCGTGGATAATTAAGAGAAAAAAATAAAACTAATTTTGTTCTATGTTCTCCCTTAAATAAAATCCACTATTCATCACGCTTTTTTTTTTGTGCTTAAATATAATAATTTTATTAATCAAATCAAAGCAGTTCTTGTCTGTGTGCTAGCAAGTTACATCGACGTGAAAATGTGTGGAACATCATTTAATTTTAAGACACACTCATTATTAACATTTCAACAGTTTGTTAATGTGTAGTTTTATCAATGGATTCTCGCACAACTGCCCCTTTAAGGTTATTCATTGTCTGGATGAGACCCAAATTTGCTCTAAACTAACACAGGGTGGTGGCAGCATCATGCTGTGGGAATGCTCTTTATTTGTAGCAAGTCGGTCAGAGCGAAATACAGGGTAAAAAGAAAACCTATAAAAGGTGGCAAAAAACGTAAGGGTTGTAATGTGAAAGAATTTTTTAAAGAAAGTTCAAGGGGTTCACATTGTTTTAAAGGCACATTACAGGAATTGTACAAGAATGCAAAGTATAGTCCCAACTGAAATCTAGCAAAGATCTAATGCACTCCGATATCCCTATAGCCCCAAAGAAATGAATCAATCAACAAATAAATAAGTTGAGAGTGATTTAGATAGATAGGGTTTTATTTTAAACCTGTATATGGTGCCAGAGAAGGTACTGGTGTGAGCAGTCTTTACATTTTATAATTGTAACAATGTTCTCTCACTTCTTTCCAGCCCCCAACCCCCATTTACGACAATAATCACAATGTGAGTTTCCACGATTGTAACCTTCTTTAATTTCTTATTTTTTAGATTGATTCGGATTCATTATTCCACAATCATTGCAACAAAAAAAACTAATAATAATAATAATAATAATAATAATAAAACTTTCTAAACATACTTAAATACGGTGGCGGACTGCAAGTCATTTCCTCTATTTTAAAACCACTGGGTTCGAAGGGGCCACTTCACTTCACTTCATATTTCTGTTCACATGGATTTATAAATAGGAACATTTTCAGCAGCCTCGTGCGGCATGGAGGTTATGCGCACACAGCAGCTAGTCGATTCTGTTACTAATTTAACAGGTGAAGTGATATATGCAGGTCTAAATAAAGAATAAAAATATGACCAGCTAAAAATAATTAATAAGTACACTTTATCCCAGATTAAGCAACCTGTTGTTTAAGTGTTTAGCAACAAATGTCCGATTTTCAAAGACAATACAACCAAAAGAGGAATTACTCCTGCACGACCAACTGTTGTACGTGAACAAACTTCGACTTTAACATTAATTACATGAATATAGGAAGGTTAAACAAATACATATAGATTGCGCGGACTTATAATTCTCAGCGTTTCTAGCCGGTATTTGCAACTACGTATGTCACTCTTTTAAGCGACGTGCTTATTGTGTTAAATGTAAATCTGCGTGAGTGGGGGGGGGGGGGGAAAACCGGAAATGTAAATTTTTTTTTTTTACCAGCCTACCTT